GGCCCCAGGTGAGCTGCTGGCCAGATGCCTACAGGACTGTGCTTGCTAAGACATTTAATATTCCCCTGGCAACAGCTCCTGGGTGTTTCCTAGTAGTCTCTGAATAACCAGATAGCCTCTTCCAGTCCCGGGATAAGGAAACCGATCCCCAGAAGTGGACAGGATGGGCATGGCATGGGAGAGGCATAGCAGTATTGCTTGCTGGGCTGGGCTGGGCTGGAGGGCAGGGAGCCCCGTCTCCTCTCTGGACAGCCGATACTGTGGCCAGAAATACAGAAACGCAGGGGCCAGGAGCCTCCAGGGCTCCTAGCTTTTCTTTCAGCTCTTCTTGCAAGGGCTTTCAGAAAATATGTACGGGAGACAGGAATAATGGGGCCCATAGGCCCATAAGTAAAGTCAGTATCCATCAGGGGTTGTGGGCAGTGGCCAGGACGGCTGGTTCATTCCAGTCCCCCAGAGCGTGGTTATGCGTCTGCCGAGGGCCTGCTGCTGAGTCGTTTCTAAATAGCACACTTCCTGTTTCTGCTGCCCCGGCCTGGCCCTCGACCCTCTGTGCAGCCCCAGGGCAGCTCTCGGGCCTCCTGCTCTTGTGGCCCTGCTACTCCCCTGAGGATGAGGGGCTAGAAAGCTTTTCCCACCTCCAACCATGCCAGCGAGGTGTGAAGAGCAGGCAGCAGTCAGTGCGGAGCTGTGGGCCGGGGCTAAGTGTACTACTGCGCACGCTCTCAGTCCTCTGCATCTCCCTGGAGCGATGAGGGGCAGAGCAGAGGTGATGGGCCATAGACTCCTAGGCCAGGCTGAGCAGAAGGGTGGCTTAGGCTGATCCAGAGGCTGGCCAGGGAGCGAGCCACCAAATGCTGCCCACCCAAGAGCCTCTGTGGGTTACATGGGAGGGCTACCCTGCAGGCCATGGGTTGGGGACACACCATCTACTGGCTACGGCGGCGGGTGGGGGTGGGTGGAAGGAAGGACATCACGTCTGTAGTGACAGCTGTTGTGTGCTCCATCACCCTTGCCCTGCTCTGCTCTCTGTTGCAGGAACCACATCTCCCCAGTTTCCTTCCCAGGTTTGTGGGTAGGCCTGACCATGGCGGGGCTCCTGCGGAAGATGGGAGGCCAGAGTTGGCGGTGAGGGCCCCACACCCCTGCTCTGCTCACCACGCACCTCTCTAACAGCCAGCCGTGCCTCCTTGTGAGCGCCCTGCCTTGGTGGCACCCAGCTGGAGAGCCCCAGCCCCTGGAATCACAGCAGCCCCTTCCTCCTGTGGTCCTTCCAGCCTCGGCCACAGCAGTGCGCTCCACTGGCGCTCATCTCTGGGGTGCCTCAGTGTCCCTTCAGATCGGCTCTTCCACCACCTGTTACCAACCCCTGAAGTCCTCCCAAGCGTCTATACCAGCACCTCTCCCATTTAATGTGAGGCCATCCTCGTGCATCCACACCTGATCACAGGTCTGGGAAGTCTGCGCTTCTAACAAGCTGCAGGAGGGGTGCACATCAGCAGCCAGTCCTCCAGCCACACTTTGAGAAGCAAGGACCAGGGAGATTCTGGGTTTCCTGATACTATGTGTCAGGTGCTCTGCTAGGCAATGGGTCTCAAAGATGAACAAAACCAACCTGTCTGCATTCCAAGGAGGGAGACAGACACGGTCAGACCACAATCACTGCAAATGACACTATCACCATCCGTGGATGCTCTGAGGGATGGACAGGAGGAGGTGAACAGCTGGGCCCTTGGCAGTCTTGGGGAGGTGGTATTTGAGCTGAGACCCAGAGTAGGGGACAGGGGAAGGTTTCAGGAGCAGTGTGTGAGCAGAGGCTGGGTGACCAGAGGAGCTGTGTGCCTTCAGTGATCTGAGAGGAGGCCAACCTGGTCTCCAGGCACGGAGCTAGGCAGGTTCAGTGGCTCCTCCTCTCTCAGCAAGAGAAGATTCACCTGAACTCAGCTTCCCAAGGGATCAGGCCTCCTCCTCCTGCAAGGCCTAATCCAGCTTTCAGCAAGGTCTCCAGGTGCTGGCAGTTGGAGCTCTCAGACACCTCCCCAATCAGCTGGCAGTCACACCCAGACTGCCCGGCGCCTGAGCTCGGCTGCTCGTCCCGCAAACAAGGCTACTCTGGAGCATGCATGGAAAGGGGGCAAGAGCAAGGGCAGGTCCCTGGGGACACTGAGCCCCATGCAGTGACAGCAGCCTGGCCTATGCACGCACAGAGGAAATGACGTGCCTCTTGCTGCTGAGCCTTGGTGTTATGTGCTTCCCCCTAAAGCCCACTTCTTATCCCCACATACCAGGTGATGTAGTACCTCCCTCCACCCGCCTTGCCACATTTGGGCTCTGTCTCTGTCTTAAGAGCTATGGAAGCCACCAAAGGGTTAAGTGTAGGATTATCTGGAATTTGTGTTTCCACCTGCCTTTAAGGCTGCATCAGGAAGCAAGGGCTGGAAGGGAGGAACCAGAACAAAGGGGGCCACAGGAGGGGAAATGTCACTATCAGTGCAGGGGTCCCTGGGACCATCGGCAACCTTGGCACCAAGCACTGAGGTCAGCCTGCCCCTGGGAATGGCACCAGGGGAGGAGGAGATGCCCAGGATGGTCTCCAAGGGAGTGGGAGACCAGCCAGAGTGGGGACTGGGAAGACTCTGAGGACCCCTTCCACACCTGTTCCTGCGTTGAGATTCTTGGATGGCACAGGCCCCTGAGACCATCAATGATCCCAGGTCTCAAGAGGCTGGGCCCCACCCTGAGCCAAGCCTGCAGAGGAGGAGAAGTGCTGAGGGAAGGTGAGCACAGCCAGGCACCCAGGAAGACAGGAGCCACCTGGTCGGAGGGGGGTGATGGAAGGCCAGGGTTTCCACAGGTCAGACCACAGCTTCCAGCCAGGACAGCTTGGGCAGCAGTAGTCGTAGGAGACACCTGGAGGCTGAGGCTGCCCACACGGCCCTCCTGGCTCCATTGGATGGCAGGCTCCAGGCAGACGAGCTGCCAGGTTGGTGTGGGGTGCCAAGGTTGGGAGCATGAGAGCGATGGGGGGCCTCCCCAGTGGGACAGAAGCACAGGAGTGAGGGGATTGGGCCCTGAGGAGATCTCAGTGTCACCCGCAAGGGCTGCAGTGTGCAGGCCATGGAGAAAGGACATTGTCAGGTGAGATGTTGGCTTCCAAAGGCCCCAGGCGGGGGGCTCCGATTCCTCCGACCTTTCCCTGAGGTGCTCCTTTGAGGTCTGTGGCACCCTGGGTATGGCATGTGGATTCCCGCCTCTTGTGTCCACCTGACAAGCACTTCTCCCCTGGACTCCCGTGCCTGCTCCATCACTTGCACCTTGTCTTAATTAGCAGGTTAGAGAGTGGGGTCCATATTGAATGGGACGTTGTGTTGACTCAGAATTGCTCCCAGCTGCGAGAAATTGTTAAACCCCTACATTAAAATGCAAACAGCTGGCATTGAGCCTAGGGACAGAAAGCAAAGCCAGCCCTTCAGCCTCACAGGGTGGCCTCTGTGAGCCAAAGCCCTGAAGTGGAAGAGCCTCAGGAGGAGGGCAGTGTGAGCCATGGGCTGGCAGCTGCAGGAAGTGCAGCTCCGCTCCCAGTGAGGATGCTCCCACTTCTGCTTAAACCTGGGGCTCTGGGAGAACTATAAAGACTGGGGGAACTTCTGGAAGAGGAGTGGTATCTCTGTCCACTCCAGGGCTCCACCACTCCCAGCACTGTGCCAGGACATGGCCTCCGCATAGGATGACCGCTGCCTGGTCGGGCTCCCCTAAACACAGCCTCTGTGGCAGGCCTAGCCTGAGCGGCCCTCCCTGGCAGCCGTGTATTCAGCTTCCCTTCTCTCCAGCTCCTGCTGCCTCCTCTAAGACAGGGCAAGGGGCAGGCCCGGGGTCCCCTCCACTTCTGACATCCAGTCAACTTGAATCAGGCCTGCAGGCCTGGGTGAGTTCCTGGGACTCTTCCAAAAATTAAAAAATCTTTATACTTTAAAAATTTCTGCCGGGCCCGGTGGCTCACGCCTGTAATCCCAGCACTTTGGGAAGCCAAGGTGGGCAGATCACCTGAGGTCAGGAATTCGACCTGGCCAACATGGTGAAACCCTGTCTTTACTAAAAATACAAATATTAGCTGGGTGTGGTGGCAGGTGCCTGTAATCCCAGCTACTCGGGAAGCTGAAGCAGGATAATCGCTTGAACCTGGGAGGCGGAGGTTGCAGTGAGCCGAGATGGCACCATTGCCCTCCAGGCTGGGTGAGAGAGCAACACTCTGTCTCAATAAATAAATAAATCAAATTTAAAAATAAAACTTTCTTATCCAAAACAAGCAAAAGCCACCTCATGATCTGATCTCACCGTAATGCTACATCCTCTTACTGTCTCCATCTGTGAAGGGGTGACCAGCCTTGGTTCTGTGCAGGGTGGCTGTGAAAACGCCATGGCTCATGGGGGCCAAACATAGCGGTAGGGCCCACTGTGGAAAGGGTGAGGCTGAGCTGCACAGCCTCAGCTGCCCACAAACAGCTCTGGGGGCTCTTGGGGTAGCTGAGGCTGTTCTTGATGAGCTCAGGGAAGAAACACAACAGAGACTGGTGAAAGGAGAGGACAGAGCCTTCTGCCCAATGTCCAGGAGCCTGAGCCCAGGAATCTCCCTTGAAACACACTCTCACACACAGTCACACACCCTTACACACACACACACATTCACGACACCATCCCAGAAATCTCCCTTGAAAAACACACACACACTCACATACACATTCACCGCATGATCCCAGAAGTCTCCTTTGAAACACTCTTTCACACGCATACACACACACACAGTCATACCACCATCATCCAGAAATCTCCCTTGAAACACACTCACACTCACATTCACGCCACCATCATCCCAGAAGTCTCCCTTGAAACACGCGCACACACACTCACACACACACATTCACGCCACCATCATCAGACCTTCGTAGATAGACACCCAGGGACCTTGGTCGGAGTGAGCTGGAGGCACGGAGTGACTGAGCATGTGCAGCTCCCGCACCACTATATAAAGATGAGGATGAACTCTGTGGCTTTGAGTCACCATAACTGTGACACTCACTCCTTTGCGCTTCACCAGACACAGAGCAACCGCCAGCCCCAAGAGCAGCTCCAGGCTGGATCTGCGCCAGACACAGGAGAAAGCAGCGGGCAGGCTGAGCAGGGGTGCTGAGGATGGAGGAAAGCTGGGAGGCTGAGCACAGCTGAAGTCCTGAGCTCCCTGTGCCGTTGACTTCTCTGTGGGCTCGAGCAAGGACCATCCCAACTCAGGATGAACCCTCCTTCGGGACCAAGAGTCCCGCCGAGCCCAACCCAGGAGCCCAGCTGCATGGCCACCCCAGCCCCACCCAGCAGGTGGGACAGCTCCCAGAGCAGCATCTCCAGCCTGGGCCAGCTTCCGTCCGTCAGTCCCACGGTAAGCCTGGGCCAGCATGTGCATGCACAGAGACTTCCCTATCCCCTTCCTGGTCCCCTCCTGGCCACACACAGGGGCTTTGAGTGGGAGATAGAAAAGGTCTGAACTCTGCTGTGGGGCCTTGAGCCATTACTGGACCTCCCTGAGCCCGCCCCCGATAAACAGGCTGATAGAGGAAGTGCAGGCAATGTCCTTCCTAATGGAGAGCATTCAAGGAATAGAAAGGCCAGCCCTGAGGACAAGGGGCTGGAATGGGCAGACCTGTCCTTGGCTGCACTCATTCCTTTTAGAGGTTGCTTGGATGCCCCATGGAGCCCTTCAGAGAGGAGGGCACACCCTGGGCCTCTGGATCTGCCCAGCCCACAGTGAAGCCTTGGGTACCTTCTGCCACCTCCATCATCCTAGCCCAGGCCCAGGGCCATATTCCATCAACACCACTGCTAGCTGGGGAGGGCTGAGGGCACCCTCAGGACCTGGGGATGCTGGCCCAGGTGCTGGACAGGATGGGAAGGTTCCGGTAGCTATAGGGGCCACTGGGGTAGGACAGAGACCAAGCTACCCTCTCTACCCCAGAAAGGTGTTAGGGTGGGAGGAGTGTTTAAATCCCTTTGTCCTGACTTGATATGGTCATGACCTACCTTCAGTGACCCTGCAGGCCTAAGCTTTCTTTCTAAAGGGAATTCCCTTCATTCTCATGCCAGGCATCAAGGTCAGCTGTACCCAGTTACGCTAAGGGGCAATGCAACTTCTCTAAGGCTCAGTAGGGGACAGGACTCCTGAGAGGGGCTCCACCCAACTCACAACCCCAGCGTCTAGAGGCCTCAAACACTGTCTTGGGCCCTTGGGCTGAAGTCCATACTGCAGGCAGGGATGCACCCAGGAGTTGGCTCTGCCTTCTCCCTAAGGAAAGATAAGGTGACCCAGGCCATGTCCCTGCTTGCCAGGTACGTATCTGTCTGTCCTACCAGCCTCTAGCAGGTGATCTGAGCTCACTCCTAGAAGGCCCCTGTGCCATGGTCTAGGAGCTTGGGCTCGACTCTGGAAAGGACCTGCACTTCCATTCTTCTTGGCCACTTGCGAGCTATGTGTGCAAGTGGCTTTGCCACTCTGAGCCTATTTTCCTGCCCTGTTGAGAATCCTAACTCTTCCTTCTCAGGACTATTTGAAGGTGACAAGGGATAATGTGATTCTCTCGTTTCTCTGTCTCTCCGCAGGCAGCTGGGACTTGGGCTGCTGCCTGGGTCCCCTTCCCCACGGTTGATGTTCCAGATCATGCCCACTATACTCTGGGCACAGTGATCTTGCTGGTGGGACTCACGGGGATGCTGGGCAACCTGACGGTCATCTATACTTTCTGCAGGTGCCTGGTTGGTGGTGCTGGGCCCAGGGCACTGAGGGTGGCAGCCATGCAGACAGGAAGAACATGCGGGCAGGAATGTTGGCTCTAACTCTGGCCAGGGCAGTGTTGAGCCTAGGCAGGGAGGGCAGGGCCATGCCTTCGATGATCTCAGGACCAGACCTTCCTCAAGGTCACAGAAAGAGCCAAAAATGGTCCAGGGAGGCCTGACTGACTGGCACTAATTGAGACCCAGGTGCATCCTCTGTGGAGGGTGTGTGTGCCCAGAATATGTGGGTCTCTGACCATTCTGCCCTGCTCTCAGCACACCTCTGCCATCACCTGCCCCAGAGAGCATCCTCCCCCTGCCTTGAAGAGCCACTCTAGGCCGGGTGTGGTGGCTCCCACCTATAATCCCAGCACTTTGGGAGGCCAAGGTGAGCAGATCACCTGAGGTCAGGAGTTCGAGACCAGCCTGGCCAATGTGGTAAAACCCCATCTCTACTAAAAATACAAAAATTAGCCAGGCATGGTGGTGTGGGCCTGTAATCCCAGCTGCTCAGGAGGTTGAGGCAGGAGAATCACTTAAACCCAGAAGGCAGAGGTTGCAGTGAACCGAGATCATGCCACTGCACTCCAGCCTGGGCAACAGAACAAGACTCCACCCCTACCCCCCAAAAAAGAGCATTCCTGGGGACCAGGATCCTCAAGTCCCTCAAACACCCCTGACACCCACCCCCAGTGTCCCTCTCCATCTGCCCCCTTGCCTGGCTCAGTGACTGAGACAGGCAGATGGAGAAGGAGACCCAGGCTCCAGGGCCACACAGCCCTCTGGCTCTCCCACCTGCTAGCTAAGGGACTGGGCACCTAATTTCTCCTCCTTGAGCCCACTTTTCTTACCTGCAAAACGGAGCTGTGCTTCATGGAGTCACTGTGATGATGCAGTAAGTTCCTGGATGTGCATTGCCCCACAAATGAGCCACTTACTAAGTGCTGTGCACCAGAGCAAGTCACTTCATGAGTGGGGGCATCTTGTCTGGAAAATGGGGACAATGAGGCCTCCCTCAGGGTGGATGCAAAGATGGATGATGACAGGAGCTGAGGCTGGTGAAAGTGCCTGGCCCGGCTGTGGTGCACAGCCATCAGCTCCTCTGCCCTTTGCCATCCCCAAGGGTGAGGACTACAGAGACAGTGTGCAGGGCAGGGCCCAGGCAGGATGTGACACTGGAGGGAGGGTGGAAGGGGGACCTGAGGAGGAGGGAGGCGTGAGAAGCCATGGGAAAGCACAGTCAGGGTACGCAGGAGGAGGAGCCTGGTGAGAAACCTCTAGGGAGATCTTGGCCTGGAGGGACTCAAGGAAACCAGTGAATTGGCCAAGGAGATGGTGTGAGTGGTGCAGAGGAATTTAGAGGGCGAGAAGAGGAAAGGGACACGACCCAAGAACCGGCCTGCACTGGGCCACGCTTCAGATTTTGGAGAGAAACTGCCCCCTGCTTCACTCTGAGGGAGCTGTCTTGGGGTCCTCACTCAGCCCACACTGCTGGGTTCAACAGCTGCTCGGCTGGTCCCTGCTAGACAGTGGGATAGCTCTGTGGCCTGGCAGCTCATGCCTGTCTGCATGCCCATGTGTGTGTGCATGTGTGAGTGTGTGGCACATGTGTGCGCATGTGTACTTGAGGGGTGCGGGAAGCTCCCCGTAGCTCTGGAGGTGTCAGGAAGTGCCTCCTAACAGCTTCTGATCCTTCCAGGAGCAGAGGCCTCCGGACACCTGCCAACATGTTCATTATCAACCTCGCCATCAGCGACTTCCTCATGTCCTTCACCCAGGCCCCTGTCTTCTTCGCCAGCAGCCTCTATAAGCACTGGCTCTTTGGGGAGACAGGTAGATACTGGGGCTCCCTTTTGCTCGAGGGAGGAGGAGGGTTTTGACCTGGGGATGCCCACAATGGTGGGTGGCCCAAAGGAGGTGATTTGCTGCGCCTGGGCAGAGAGTGGGTAGCTGCCCTCAGTCCTGTGAGTAAGCAAGAATGGAAGATGCAGTGTTGGTCCTGAGGCCTCTGCCAGCCTTAGCCAGATGTGGCAGGTGGAGGGGGTGGAGTGTGCTCAGGCCTGCTCTTCCTGTGAGGCGAGGGCCAGAGCAGAGTCCACCCCATCCCCAGACCCTCCTCCCCAGGACTCAGAGCAGGGGCTGTACCCACAGGCTGCGAGTTCTATGCCTTCTGTGGGGCTCTCTTTGGCATCTCCTCCATGATCACCCTGACGGCCATCGCCCTGGACCGCTACCTGGTAATCACACGCCCGCTGGCCACCATTGGTGTGGCGTCCAAGAGGCGCGCGGCATTTGTCCTGCTGGGCGTTTGGCTCTATGCCCTGGCCTGGAGTCTGCCACCCTTCTTTGGCTGGAGTAAGTGGGATGCTGGAACTGGAAGTGGGGCAGATGGGCTGGGAGGGGCACATTCAAGGGGAAGTAGGTGGACTTGGGTCAGCCAGCTGATGGGGGCAGGGGTGCCCAAGAACTACCTGAGCCTCAGGTCAGATGGACATTCGGGGGATGTGACCGGCAGCAAGGGAAACTGACACTGCCCCATCAGGGGCCAAAGGACCTCCTGGGCAGCTGATCCCAAAATACAGAGGCTTTCTGGGTGGGGCAAAGTGACAGGTACTTCTCATGCTGAGTCAGACTAGGCAGGGGGCTGGGGTGTGAGGCCTCTGCAGGTGGAAGGGTGGAGAGCAAGGTAGTAGCCCTCCTGGGGCAAGACTAGGCCTCTGGCTGAAGCCCTGGCAAGCACCATCTTGTAGTTATGGTGAGCTTTCTGCTCAAATCTAGCAGGAATGGGAGGCAGTGGGCTTTTCAGGCCATCCCAATTCCCTCCAGCTTCCTCACTGCACTGGACAGGGCCAGGTCAGGGGCCAGGGCTGTGTATGGGGACCCGAATGCCACATACAAAGCTCCTGCCAGATAAGGAGCCCTGGTCAGTGCCACCACGAAGCCTGAGCACCTGCCCTGGCTCCCAGGTGCCTATGTGCCCGAGGGGTTGCTGACATCCTGCTCCTGGGACTACATGAGCTTCACACCGGCTGTGCGTGCCTACACCATGCTTCTCTGCTGCTTCGTGTTCTTCCTCCCTCTGCTTATCATCATCTACTGCTACATCTTCATCTTCAGGGCCATCCGGGAGACAGGACAGTAAGAGCCGAGCATGGAGGGGGGCTACAGGAGGGGGGCCGGCCCCTCTGCCAGGTGGCCTCTGCCCCACCACTCACACCTGCACCAGCCTACCAGAGCATGCCCGGCGGCTGAAGGCAGGCTGAGCACGTGCTTACGGGGCAGTGATGTCTAGGGTGAGCCTCAGGAGACAAGGGCTTCCAGGGAGGGCTTTTAGGCATGGCCAGGGGAGCAGAGAAGGCACACCAAATCAAGGGGGAGTGGGGGGCAGCTAAGACCCTCGTGTCACAGAAAACTTTCTGGAAGTCACAGCTGCCTGCACTGCTGGAAGGAATGACACTCTCCCAAGTGCCCTCCAAAGATAGTCCAGGGAGGCTCCCCCAGCAGCCGTGACCCTGGTGCTCGCTGCCACCCGACTAGGGTCAGACCTGGACTATGCGTCCTTCCTAGGGCTCTCCAGACCTTCGGGGCCTGCAAGGGCAGTGGCGAGTCCCTGTGGCAGCGGCAGCGGCTGCAGAGCGAGTGCAAGATGGCCAAGATCATGCTGCTGGTCATCCTCCTCTTCGTGCTCTCCTGGGCTCCCTATTCTGCTGTGGCCCTGGTGGCCTTTGCTGGGTAAGCAGTGGTAAAGAGTTGGGGAAGAGGCTGAAGGGGTAGGGGTGGGAGCAAGAAGCCTGGGCAGCTTCTTCCTCCCAGCCCAACCCCGGCCAGCCATCCTTGCACCCTAAGACCAGCCTCACAGCTTATTCTCTGCCTGGGTAAGGTGCCCAGCCCCGGGGTGGGTGGGAGGCCACCTAGTTCCTGGAAGCACCAGGGCACATGCAGAGGAGCTCTGCGCCCCACAAAGCTTTGGGCGGACGGCCTGCTAGCCCCCTTTGGAACACACAGTTCCTCTTGAGGTCTCCTCTCTCTCCGCTTGTGCTGTGGTCACATGACCAGAGGTGCTGCCCATCTCCAGGAATGGGTCCCTGAGAGCTGCCCTTCTAGCCCTTTGTGGCTAGAGTCTGGGGATTGTGACATCTGCAGCGGCACGGATGCAGGCTCACCTTCAGAAGTGTTTTTGAGAAGTGAGGGCTATTTAACCTTGGAAGTACTTAGATAGAAGACCTTCTTGTGGACGAATGGCCTGGTCCCCCCAGGCCCTTACTGTGGGGTTTCTCTACAATAGCCAGGGCAAGAATGGGCATCACGGTTGGGGTTGGGTATGAGAAGAGCTAGGCAGAGGGTCCGAGGGCCAGAGTCAATGGGGGGAAGTGGGGCATCGCCAGCAGCACAGGCTCCAAGGGACAGTGGACCTGGGAACCTCCACCCCAAATTCGGCACATTTTCCTTCCAGAGCCACACACTCAACCACCCACTGCTCCCTCCTTCTCACTCAGATCAGAATTCTCCTGGCATAGGCTGAGCATTGTGGTTCATGCCTGTAATCCCAGCACTTTGGGAGGCCAAGGCAAGGGATTACCTGAGGTCAGGAGTTCGAGATTAGCCTGGCCAACATGGTGAAACCCCATCTCTACTAAAAATACAAAAATTATCCAGGTGTGATGACGGGAGCCTGTAGGCTCAGCTACTCAGGAGGCTGAGGCAAAAGAATTGCTTGAACTCAGGAAGCAGAGGTTGTAGTGAGCTGAGATCACGCCACTGCAACTCCAGCCTGGGCGATAGAGCAAAAAGAAAAAAAAGAAAAAATTATCCCGGCACTGCCAATTCCTCCCTGTGGGGCTGACTTAGTGGTGCTGGTTTGGGCCGGATTAGGATTTGGGCTTTGGCAGGGCCTGGCCCAGAAGAGAAGGTGCGTCAGGAGGGCCAGCTAGCTTGGGGACCACACCTTCTCTGTCCTAGGTACGCACATGTCCTGACACCCTACATGAGCTCGGTGCCAGCCGTCATCGCCAAGGCCTCTGCAATCCACAACCCCATCATTTACGCCATCACCCACCCCAAGTACAGGTGTGGCTCTTTTCCAGAACCCCAACCTTGGCCTCCGAGGGCCTGGCCGGCAGATGGGGGCAGAGGCCACCACCTTTCCTGTCTCTTGTATGTGTGTTGGATGGGGGCCACCAGCAGCTGGGAGCGGCTACTGACACTGAGTGGGGTCTGGAGTTGGTGTGCCTCCCTCCCCCACCCCAGCTTCCCAGGGGGCACGGTGTGGAGGGAGGTCAGGGCTCCCTGGGCAGTATCCGATCCTAACTATGGGACCTTTCAGACCTGGGGTGTAGGGCAGCCAGGACAGCCCTGTGAATTTAAGCCCCTCCCCCACTGCCCTCCCTGATAGTGTCATCCTGAAGAGACCACAGCAGGGAGAGCTCAGCTCTGCTCCCAGGGCCTGGCAGGGGCCTGGAGTGGCTCTGGGCCAGTATGCGTGCTGATAGCAACCCGGCAAGGCCGCTTCTCCCTCAGTGCTTCCTTTTGCCTGGTGGTGTCCGTCACTCACCGCCTTCCCAAGGCCAGTGGCAGGCCTGAACCCGTCCAGCACAGAGGCTGCTCAGGAGTGTCCCTGGTCTCCATTACCAAAGATGTGGCTTGAGCCAACCACTTGGGGGCTGGAATTGATATCCCCAGGCTCTCCCTGCATGCCTACCACCCAAAATCTCTCTGTTCCTCCCACCAGCCCTGTGAGCCTGTCAATCTCCCCATCCAGCATCTGTCTTTCTGTCCTCATCACCTGCCATAGTTTCCAGGGTTGGCCTCCCCATTTCCCCAGAGGCTCTCGGTCACCACACATTAGGCCTGTACCACCCTGTGCATCCATCCCCTCCCCTGCCTCTGTCTGCCCATCCCCTGGCCCTAATCAGATGTGCGGTCCCTGCAGGGTGGCAATTGCCCAGCACCTGCCCTGCCTGGGGGTGCTGCTGGGTGTATCACGCCGGCACAGTCACCCCTACCCCAGCTACCGCTCCACCCACCGCTCCACGCTGATCAGCCATACCTCCAACCTCAGCTGGATCTCTGGACGGAGGCGCCAGGAGTCCCTGGGCTCAGAGAGTGAGGTGGTAAGGACGCTGGGCCTTCGCCAGCTTGCACCTGGCCATCCCTTCCTTAGGCAGCCCTGGGGTTCTGGGGGAAACATGGGCCCTGGTGGGGCTACCTCTGAGACACAGGGACTCTCAGGACGCTGGCACCCTGATAGGAAGAGACCATCGCAACACCCCCATGGAGTTCATAATCCTCCCTGATAGGCGGGGGCACTAGGGCCAGAGAGGGGATGGTTTGGGGGTTCCCAAGAGCAGGGCCAGGATTGAACACAGGTCTTCCAACTCCAGGCCATCTCCTTTTCCACACTGACACTCTCCCTAGAGCCGCAGCCTGAAGAGATCAGCACATCTGGCCCTAGATAGGGCTCCGGAGAGTCAAGGCAGGAGTTAGCTTGGAGCTCCTTGCTCCTCAGCATTAAGCCCCCTCCTCCTGGGAGCCTTGAAGAGCTCACAGGATTGTCATGGGCCCTGGAGATGGGAGATGTGACTTTGAGCCTCAGCTTACCACGTGCTCACTGTGGGAGCCTAGGCAGGTCACTTACCCCCTCTGAGGCTCCACATCCTCCTCTGAAAGGGAAAACAGGCATCTCACATCAGCGCTGGCCAGGTGTGCCCAGGGTGGGTGTCAACCCTCCTCAGGGCCAGGTGTGCCCAGGGATGGGTGTCAGCCCTCCTTGGTGCCTGCAGTTCTGCTGCCCCTAGATGCCCCCAGGAAAGCTCTGTGCACCACCGGCTCCTATTCCAGCCACACTTGGGCTCCTCCTTAATTCTACCTACAGCGCCCTCTATGGGCCTCAGCAAGAGCTGCCGCCGACTGACCAGCCAGCGATCTCCTCCCACTGCCTGCATCTTCAGGTGTCTTGGTTAAGGGACTGAGAGAGGAGCTCTCAGGGGTCCCTCCTGTAAACCACTGTAGTCACCAAGGAGAAATCTAATCTGTTAATGGAGGCCTAGACCCTCGTGAAGACCACCCATGTATTCAAAAATATAAATAGCCACTTTCTTAGGGAGGTCTGCAGGTGTGCAGATGGGGAGCAAACCTGCACACACACACACACACACACACACACACACACACACACACACACCCCCTAGCATAGGCACGCACAATTTACGAGGTTTATTTAGTGACCAGCAACCATGCAAATGGTGTCAGGGGCCTCCTGCAATGAATACCTGTTGGGAGGATGGAGGAGGACCTGGTGGGGTAAGGGCAGGAGCAAAGCTACGGACTGTCCCTCTCACCTCACAGTCACTTTCTCACCTCCCCCAGGGCTGGACACACATGGAGGCAGCAGCTGTGTGGGGAGCCGCCCAGCAAGCGAATGGGCGGTCCCTCTACGGTCAGGGTCTGGAGGACTTGGAAGCCAAGGCGCCCCCCAGACCCCAGGGACAGGAAGCAGAGACTCCAGGGAAGGTGACTGGGCCCGGTACCTGCCAATCCGTAAAGGGGTGGGGATTAGGGGTCAATAGCCCAGGGAGAGGCCAAGAAAGGGAGACTTGTTCTCTTGGGCAGGGGCAATGCCCTCCAGGAATCACCTGCTCCCAGCACCTCTCGGCTTTTCCTTGTCTGCCTGGGGGTCTCTATGACTCTGAGATGCTCTGAGCAAGGCTTGCATGTGGTCTGCGTGTGTGTATGTGTGTGTGATCATGCAACTCTGACTCTGCACGGTGCTGTTGGTTGTGCTGTGCCATGATAAGTGTACATGTGTGTGTTGATAAGACTAGGAGGTCTGCAGCCGGCAGAACATAGCTCGAGCATGTGTGTGGCCATGTGCCCAGCACATGCTCTGTCACTGTAACACCCAGTGACACGTGACAGAGCATGCCCCAATGTGTCTGCTTTAAGCTGTGCATATGAGTGAGTGTGGGTGGTGTGTGCCTCTCTGTGTGACTGCAAGGTTGGACATACCTGCGGAGGAAGGGGCTGCAAGCTGTGGATGTGCTCACCATGAATGCCCTGAGATCAGGATGTCACCCAGAATACTTGTGGCTATTAAAAGAAGGCCAGCTGTCGGCCCCAAGTGCCTATGGAACGGAATGTCGATGGCGATTAGAGAAGGCCATATTCTAGAACACTGGAAATGTCGTGTGCACAGGCTCCCAAGCAGCCCTTCACCCCAGCTGACAGCTCCCCATCTGCCCCTCCTGTCACACCCACACAACACCCCCAGCTCGGCTCCTGGGCTCTCTGGCTTCCCTAGCTAGTCCAAGGCCAAAGGCACATTCCTGCCTTCCTTCCTTCCTGAGTGCTGTGTCCCTGTGCATCCAAGAACAAAAGTCCTGGGCTGTACCTGCAGTTGGGTAGCCTCAGCCTCTCTCAGCATTCCCCCTGGGGGCACCGCCCCCTGTCCTGGAGCCCAGGCACTGTGCATGCCATAAATGCCAGGACAAAGTCCTGGCAGTGACCCCCAGGCTGGCCAGGCACTGATGAAAGACACCGTGCCTGTCTTGGAGGGATAGGCTGGGGTGGGGTGCTGGGGAGCCATCAACAATCACCACACACATGTGATAAGCGCTGCCAACGAGGTGTGAGCACGCAGGGTACTGAAAGCAGAGGCAAGTCCCTGAGGCTCCCCAGGAAGGTAGAGGTGAAGCAGGGATCTGCAGGCAGCAGGGATGGGGAGTGGGGGTAGCACTGATCTGTCCAGGATGAGGATACAGCCTGTGTGACTGTGCAAACACAGGGGCACAGGGGAGGGAGCTCAGTATGTCCTGGAACAGGATGTCTCTCTGTGACCCTGAGAGCAGCCAGAGGGACCCTGGGGATTGGCAGTGGGGGACATAGGACAAGGGAAGACGGGCCGGAGGTGGTAGGAGCAGTGGGAAGGCAAGGCCCCATCAGGGACTGGCTTAGGTGTCTCCAGACCTGACCTAGGGACAGGAAGCCCTGGGAGGGGGTTGGTCAGCTTTGCAGGGTGAAGACTAGAGGAAGGAAGCACTGCAGGGCAGGCAACGAGTGACCCATTTAAGGGCAGCAGGAGCCGGGGTGATGCCAGAGTCTCCACATGTGGAGGAGAGGAGAGGAGAGGATTGGGTAGTGGGGGTGAGGATGAGTTCAGTTGTGACCCCGGGAGTCAAGAGCCCAGGGAGCATCCCAGGAGATGCTCTGCAGGCAGTGTTAGGCGTTACTGGCTCCTACTCTGGGATGTGGACTCTGGGAAGGCCCATCCCTGACCCAGCACACAACCTGGCCCTTCCTTGCAACCTCCCCACTGCTCGGTGACCCAGCATGTGGCGGGTCATCGGGAGACTGCTCCCAGTGAACTGCTCCTCAGCTAAACAGATGCGTGCTGTTTGTTTGCAGACCAAGGGGCTGCTCCCCTGCAAGGACTCCAGGATGTAGGACACCCACTGGCTCTCCCTTTCTTCTGGGACACATCCAGCACCCCTATGTCTCCCTCATGTACACAGACCCAGGATTACGCTGTGAGCCTGCAGGCTTTGGAAGTGGCCCTGTCACCCGTGCTGCACAGGATTCGCAGCCCTAGCCGCATGTCCCCTCTCCACACCTCAAAACTCCTGCCCCACAACGTCCTCCACACCCACTTTCCAGCTCAGCAGCCGCATCCCAGGCCCAGCCTGAGGGGTGTGTGCCCAGGCTCTCCCGCTTCCCGAGTTGTCTGCCTCTCCTCAAATGCTGTGTGCTGCAATTGTCCAGGCGATGACAATGGTGATGGCTCCAGAGAACACACCAGCTATTTATGAGCCTCTGTCCGCAGGCTGGGCCTGTCACTGGCATAGGAAGGCCAGCTCCGCATCTCCCACTGCCAACAGCTGAAGCTGAGCACAGACCTCCCTTTGCACACTGGAACGGTTACTCACCTCTGGCTTCTTCCCCCAGCGCACCGTTCCACTGTGGCCCACATTCTTGTGCACACGGGCATTTGCAGGCACGCTCTCGCATAGTTACCTATTTGAATGCACACCAAGCACATGCGTGCACACTCTGCATCTGTAATTCATTTCATGTAATGGAATGAATAATTTCATGTAAGCTCCTCCCAGGGCTGTGTGGATCTGACAGGGTACAGGAAAATAAAAAGTGGAGAAGGTGTCTTCAGACAAAATATGGTCTCTACCTATTGGTGCTATTATGGGAGAGAACCAGGGCCTGGCCTCTGATGCCTCCAGCAACTTCACTTCCTCTCCTCCTTCTGTCCCCACTCTTGGGACTCTCACTCTGAGGCCCACCTCAAACTGCAGGGAGCACAGCAGAGAAGGGACAAAGGCCAGGCTGGCCTCCGTCCCCACTCACTCCCCAGTGAGCCACTGAGCTCCGCCCAGCCCATGGGTACCAGCTGCTCTCTGACTGGCTTCACGTCTCCCGAGGGAGGCAGATGGAGGGAGGCCGGCCTTCGCCTTTAAGAGCACTCTCCTGCCACCCCTCCCTTTCCCCAGAGGCGAGCTTCATCAGGCAGGAGCCAGAGGCCAGAGAAAGAGCGTGCAGCTCCAGGTACAGCCTCCCCCAGCTCCCTGGCCCTGGGGGTGGGCTCCTTCCTTCTCCCACACTGGTTATGCCCTGCTGCTGGGTCCTCTCCAGCCTGGCAGGATGGACAGACACCCCTACGAAAGGGAATAAGGCTGGAGTTAGGGATGGATGACATGGGGCTTTGCAGAGAGGGACAGGGAATGGTACGGGGGAGGGACGCTGGCCATGGACTGCTGGCCTTCTGGGCTGGGCTGCGTGATATAGGATGAAGGAGGTGATTAAGCGGGGGAAAGGACAATCTTCCCGGCTTCTTCCGCTTGATAGTTTTGTGACTTTGGGCAAGAACAAAACAACCCCGTAATATGGGTGATCGTACCTTGCACCTTGCATGTGCCAGGCCCCAGGAGTGAGGCTGGAAGCTGAGAAATGACTCATACCTAGGCCTCTACTGACTCCTCAGGGTCCAAGCCAGAGCTCTCCAAGAGGGCCAGCAAGCAGCCAACCCAGTTGCCTCCCCTGAGCCTCAGTTTCTCCAACCAAGGAGCCAGAGTGGGCCTTGATCTATCTCCAGACCACATAGGGGCCTGAGGTCTTTCTTGGGGAAGGGGTTGGCCCAAAGACCACACTGGCAGAAGTCCCAAGATGCTTAGGCCCCCCACCCAGAACACACTGTCTCTGGGGTACAGGCTGAACATGCCACACGTGCTTCCCCCTCCGTGCCCCTCCTGGCCCTGTGTCTAGCAGCTGAGCAAATGGCGTCTCCTCCCTTCTCCCTGCCCCCTGCCATTCCTGCGCAAAGGGCACGGGGCCTGGCGTGTGGCACTGGCAGCTGGAGCTTTCCATGCTGCCGTCAAGTTTTCCAGAGCACAAATAAGACAGGAGAGCCAGGAATAACTGGCTGGGCCCCCAGAGGGTCTGGAGGGGATGGGCCTACCTCAGACCTGCTTTCAGACCCTGTGCCAAGGGGTGCAGGCAGAGGGCCAGCTGCCCAGGACCAGGGCTTTGGGAGGCTTCTGTGGCCATTGGGAGCCCATTATCTGGCATGCATCCTGTAAGAATCAGCCCGGGCTCCAGTGTGGCCCGGGTCCACTCCTTGTGTGACCTTGGAGAAGTCATTTAACCTCCCTGAGCTTTGTCTCCTGTGGGTCCAGGTGGCAGCTTCTCAGGATCCCAGGGAGTGAAGGGCGCATGCTGAGGCTGGCTATGCCCGGAGCTGCTGCTATTATGATCATTTTTATGGCTGGACAACCCTGGGCCAGTCACAGACCAGCTGCAGGCTCAGTTCAGGCCAAGCCACCTCCAGGACCCCACACTGGATAAAGCACAACCCCAGAATCCTGGGCAGGGACCACATGGCTGCAAAGCCCCTGCCCAAGGGAGCTCAACCCCTGGTCTTCTGAGCAAGAGGATGGGTACCACGGAGCAGGAAGAGCGAGTGTCTCCGCTCTCCAGAGGACACAGGAGCAAGGAGACCAGAGCATTCTCACCAACCTGGCTAGTCCCCCTTCCTCCCCCCTGGGGGGTGCTGGGTGCCGGACACCCCTCCCCAGGGGCTATATTAGCCGTGTGAGTCACGGTGGACCGGCTGGGAGGCCGCAGGCGGGCGGGACAGTGTAGGGTTACAGTCCATTTATGGGCGCAGCCGAGGGCAGATATCAGTGTCGATGGCATTCGCTCCCAGCTATTCTTAGGAGCCTCTCAAGAGCTCCACGCAGCCCAGCTGGGCAGCAAGGGACAGAGCAGGCAAGGCCGGGGGGCAGGGGCAGGGGCAGGGGCAGAGGTGTGGACCGGGCAGGCGGAGTGCCTGAGTGCCCTCTCACTCAACCCTCTCAACCTTTTGTCTGCAGAGGCGGCCGCTGACAGCACCAGCATGTCTTACAGTGTGACCCTGACTGGGCCTGGGCCCTGGGGCTTCCGTCTGCAGGGGGGCAAGGACTTCAACATGCCCCTCACTATTTCCCGGGTGAGTGCACCCTGCCACAGCCTGGCACCCGACGGGGCGGGCACGCTGTGTGTCTGTCTGTCTGTCCTTTCTGAGCCTCTCAGAAAGCAGAGCATGCCCCATCCCCTGGGACTGGCCTGGTCCTCTGGTCTCAGCCACAGCTGTTTGCTCACAGGAGCCCGCCGGCCTGTTATGCATGTGAGACACCATGAGCAGGTGGTAGGTGTTTTTAGCAGAGAAGAAAATGCTGAGTTTTCAGGCGGCAGGCAGGTAGCTGGACCGAGTACAGCGCCTTCCTGATCCCTTCACTGTTAGAGTGGGCTTAGGGTGCCCCCAAGCCTTTAGCATTTCCCTAGATGTGGGCAGCTGCTTTGGGAAGGGAGCATTCCCAGCATGGAGAGGGCAGGTGATGGGCAGTTGGATAGATGGACAAACAGGCTGCTGACCTTGGCTGTCCTGCTGTCAGAGCGTGGGGCTGGGCTGGACTGAGTACTGGGCACCCGCTCCATCCCAAACTTGAGACACCAGCACCCTGGCTCATGGGGCTGGGCGGTCCTCCCCATTCACCGTGGCTGCTTTGTCTGTCTCACGACTTGTTCCCCGCAAGCGCTGGGGCCTGGTGAGATGGCCCCCTGTCCTGCAGTGTCTGTGATGGGGAGCAGCATGGCCTAATGCAGATGACACAGAACATCGGGTTGTCTGAGTAACTCTACTGCCTGGCTGGAGACAGCAACACCAGAGAGGCAGAAAGCTAGCCATGCTCCCAAGGAAGCACTCCAGGAACAGGGACTTCAACATGCCCCTCACTATTTCCCGGGGGAAATAGCATCTAGACGGGGGGACAGCATTTAGACCGTAGTAGGCGCTCCGTCAGTATTTGTCAAACAAACAGACTCCCCGGCAAGGCACTGGTAGACCCAGGGCTGAAGACCCCAAGGCTCAGGATGAACTGTGAGGCATACAGGGCAAGGACAACCCTGCCTGGTGGCTGAGCCCCTGGCCGTGCTGTTCTGGTCACAAGGCAGGAGCGGGAGGCTCCCAGGCTGTCACCGGAGGGTAGTGGGTGGGCAGGGGTATCTGGGCTACTGCCCCACTAGGGGAACAAGGGGACAGTTTCTTCTCTGGGGCCTTTGGGACTTGCCTTGGGCCTGGGGGCTGGAAGAAGGGGTTGGAGGGGAAGCACTGAAGTGGGCAAGGCCTGAAGGTGCTTGGCAGAGGGACCAGGGAGCCTGGGCAGAGGGTCAGGAGCCAACGCCACCACTGGAGAAGTAGTCTCTGTTTTAGGTTCCATGGGTACTTGGGGGAACCCCAGAAGTAGAAGCCTCACCCAGGGATGCTGTGAGAGCCTTATAATAGCCATAGAGGCCACATGCTTCCAGGGTGGGTGCTGGCCTGGCTCTGGCACAGGGAACAGGCCCTGCCCTCCATCCTTCAGTTGGAGATGTGGCTTGTTCTAACCTGGAGACTCCACCCCTCCAGATCTACTGCCCTGGAGACCACAGGGTCCTGGAAACCCACAGCTTTGCACACTTTGCATGAGGTGGCGACCTGCGGGCATGTGAGCCCCAGTGGATTTCCCACTGCCCTGTACAGCTCCCCACCCCCATGCTTGCAGGACTCCTTCCTGTACAAGGTGGAGCCTCTGGGTGCTCTCTCATGGGCCCTGTGGCCTCCCCTGCCTGAGACTGAGCCCACATCTGCCCCAGCTCCACCATCTCCAGGCCTCCTGCTGGTGCTCCCTGCCCTATCCCTATGGGTGCAAATTGGCCACTGGGTCCACTGGCACTCAGGATAGCCAATGACTTCACCCAGGGTCTATGTGCCACCTGGCCCCAGCCAGCCAGGGGCTTAAATGGCAGCCCAGAGGCCTTAAGCTAGATAACAGGAGGAATGTCCTTACTCCGGGGAGGGGGTATGCAGGGATGTGCTGGATCCAATGACTGGGGGGACTTTTAAAAATAGAACCCGAAGCCCAGGCAGGGCACTGGGGGATGGGCACGATGGCCTCTCGGCTTCCTTTAGGGGCATACCCCAAATCACCTGAGCTATGGAGCAGGCTGGACTGGGAACTGGAGCCCTTCCCGGGGCTTGGAACCTCTTGAGAAATTTTGGTGGTGGGCTGCTGATAGCCTGGGCTTGTGTCCTGGTTCCGTGCCACTGGCAGGGCAGGCCTTGTGGACACAGCCCTGCCATCCCACCAGGGCTGTAGGATTTACTGCTGGGGCTCGCAGGGCCCTTCTGCACCAGGAACATCCCCCTACGGGGGAGGCATGGCCAGAGCTCTCTGGAGGAACTCCACTCCCACCCCAGCCAGGACCTGAGCCTGTGCCATAGGGCACCATAGGCAAGAGTGTGTGACCCTGTGGGGTGGGCAGGCAAGCGAGGCTCGGATCGTTACCTCACTTCAGAGCCTGGCAAACTGAGGCTGGCGTTTGCTCACAGGACAGGGATGGCCATGGGTGGATCTCCTGTGTCCTCTCACCCCAACTCCCATGCTGGCCTGCTCACCCCTCTGACTGGGACTACTAGAGAGGCACTGGGGAGACCTGTCCCCTCTCAGCTGCAGGTATGTGCTGCAGCTCCTCCTGGAAGGACACAGGCCACCTACAGGCTGGGTGGTGGCTCCCGGGGGTCCATGGCAGCAACCTTGGGGCAGCAGCAGCCCCTCAAGGCCTCCCTTCAGAGGGTCTCCTCTTGCGGACTCACAGAGAAGGGGATTCAAGAGGGAGACTGGGAGCGGAGCGTGGCGGGGAAATGCCTTTATTTATCCTGGACAGGTGTGGCTGGGCCTGCAACATGAGCTGCCCTTTCACCCCACCCCAGCCAGTTCTCCAGGAAGTGGGGAGGGGGCAGAAGCGCAGAGAGGGAGCAGCTCCAGAGGCCCAGCCCGGACTCTGCCCTGGCAGCTGGCCAGAGGCTGGGACCATGGTCTGGGCTCTCGCCTCTTCACACCTCTCATGCCCCCACCTTGGGGAAGACGAGTATGCTTTGCTAGGCTCTGCTGTTCTCAGCTGTGTTGCCTCAGAAGTCTACCTGCTCAGCCTCAGTTTTTCTCACCCTTAAAATGGGGATAGCAGGCCGAGCGTGGTGGCTCGTGTCTGTAGTCCTAGCACTTTGGGAGGCCAAGGGGCGGACCACTTGAGGTCAAGAGTTGGAGACCAGCCTGGCCAACATGGTGAAACCCTGTCTCTACTAAAAATACAAAAATTAGCCAGGTGTGGTGGCGCATGCCTGTAATCCCAGCTACTCAGGAGGCTGAGGCAGGAGGATAGCTTGAACCCAGGAGGCAGAGGTTGCAGTGAGCTGAGATCGTGTCACTGCACTCCAGTCTGAGGAGTCAGGAAAACTCCCAATCCGGGGAGGCACAGCCAGCTGGAGCCACCCAGGCAGGTAGGGAGAGGCTTTTTGAATGAGGAGACGCCCGTTTATTTATCGGCCAGGGTGGAGTTGGGGAGTGGGACCATGGGAAGACAGAAGGTTCCAGTGAGAGAGTGAGCATGAGCAGAACCACAGGGGAGGCCAGTCTCACAGAGTGAGACTCCATCTCAAAAATACATCAATCAATAAATAATGCCTTCCACACCTGTGGGAGCTCTTTCTAACAGGCACTTATGAAAACTTTCCACCTGGTGTCTACCAGGACAAGTTGTGAGACTGGTGGAGTTGGGGGGCTGAGCCCTGGGCCCAGGAGGGGCCTGCCTCTCTACTGGAAGCCCTCTGTCCCTAGGGTCTCAGGCACCCCGCCTGCAGGCTCACCTGGAGCACCAGCCCAGAGGCCTCTCCTCCTCTGTGGGTTTCGGTTCCAGTTATTTATCAGACTCTCCCAGCTGTGGTGGGAACATGCTGAGGACAGAGGGTCTCTGGGGAGAGGAAGGGGGACAGGCTGAGACTATTCTGGAGTAGCTGTGCCAGCAATGCCTGGAATTTTGGGGCCGCTGGAGCACGCAGTGCTGTTTCTTGGGCAGCTCTTAGCAGTGCTGACAGGCCATGCTGTTTATAGCTGCACTGAAGGTCAGGCAAGCCTCCAAGGGCTTCTGTGGGGCTGGCAGGGGCCTCCCCGGCAACATCCATCTATCAGCAGGGGAAGATAAGCAGCCAGAGGCTCGGAGGCTCCCAGCTGGGGAATGTATTCTTAGAGGTCCCCCAGGCCAGGTCCTCCCTGCCGCTCAGAACTGTATCTAACTCTGTGAGGGATCCAAAAGGAGAGGACATGAGACTAGCTGGGGTTCTGGGGAATGAATTGGACCCTTGGAGGCCTCCAGGCCAGGACACCGTGCAAGAGCAGCTGCATGAGCAGCCCCAGGGCTCCGGGGCTACAGGCATTGTGGGGTTGCCAGTGTCAGGACTTCAGGGCTATCTGAGAAAGACCGGGCCAGGCCCGGCTGGGGGATAGCTCCCCAATTCCCTGAGTCTCCTTCCCTTTCTACATCATCCCCTCTCATCCAGAGGCTGCCCCTGACTGCAAAGACCCTCCCCCACGCAGAGCTCTCCCGCCCTCAAATGCAGCTTTGGGACCAGGCTCCACCTCTGCCCAGGAACCATCCTTGGATGCAAGAACGGGCCTTGCTGGGGGCCCCTGAGAGCCAGCGCCCCTGAGGGCATTTGACTGGCCACACCCAAGCCACAGATGGAACTGTGGACCTGGACAGGAGGAAGAGAGGCAGGAGACACTCAAGAGACACTTGAGGAAAGCCAGGGGAGGTGTGGTCAGTTAGAGGGGGGCAGTGACCCCTGGCTTTGGACGCAGAAGCTCATTGATCTGCGTGGAATAGTGGGGCCAAAGGCAGATGGCTGTGTGTGAGCAGGTGGGAGGCAGTGGCATTGGGGGCAGGATGTGTGGGTCACCTCCTGGAGGAGTCTGGAGGTGCAGAAAAGGGACATGACAGGAGCCAGTTGGAGTCACCCAGGCAGGCAGGGAGAGGTTTTTTGAGCATTGAGGAGACTCCTGCTTATTTATCAGCCAGGGTGGAGTTGGGGAGTGGGACCATGGGGAGACAGAAGGTTCCAGTGAGAGGGTGAGC